GCCTCCGGCCTGAAGAGCATCTGGAACAAAGAGTGCACAAACAAATGATGTATCCTGGCTCCAAGACTCTAGGGATGTGACCTCTCTGAGCCTCAGTTTCCTCAATGTAAAATGGAGACAGTAGCAGAATCTGACTGAATGAGGTAGTATTTGTGTGTCAAGAGTTTGACACAGTGCATAGGAAAACGGCAATTGCTCAGTAAATATCAGCTCTAAAAATACCAGATACAAAGTCGAACCTCCTTCTCATTTTGAGGATGGGACCACCAAGGTCCACGGAAGGGGGAAGTACCTTGCCCAAGGTCACACAGTCTACCATCAGAAGAGCTAGGAGAAAAGCAAAATGCTAAGAGAAAGTGAAGAATGGATAAACACAATGTAGTATATCCAAACAATGGACTATACAGCAATAAAAAGAAATGAAGTACTAATTCACGCTACAACATGATGACCTTCCAAATATTGTGCTAAGTGAAAAAAGCCAGACCCCCAAAGACCTCATTCTGTAGGATTCCATTTATATGAAATATCCATTAGAGTTAAAATGGGAAGTGGTAAATTCACTAAAACTTATACTAAATTTACTAAAAGCCACTGGACCATACACTAAGAATGTTATGATATGAAAATTATACCTCACTAGAGCTATAAAAGGATGATCTTTAAAAGGAAGAAGGTGCTCAGAGCCCAGTAGAGGAAATACTTGAGCAGCCATACTCCCTTACCCAGTTGTGCAGCCCTCAGAGATTACAGCCAGGCCATGCGTGAGGCTGACTTCTGAGCAAGAAGGCCAAACAGTGCAGGCCCCTGCCAGCTAGACCCACATGCTGGGGCGATCGCCAGCTCCCACCAGCCCACCCCATGGAGTGGACTTCACCTCACTGTTCAGGGCAGGAGCACAGAGTCTGCCTAAGGACCCAGCCTCCAGGGCTGGTAGCTGTAGTCTGTGGCAATAAGGGAGTTCCTGATTTTGTGAGACTGGGCTCTAGTGACAACAGGCCTCTGCCTCAAGAGGCAAAGTCAAGGGGAGTCAGAGCTGGTGGTCCAGGGGCCACAGTGTGATCAGCTAGCTCACGGGAAGACAGGAGAACATCTCAGACCCTAGCCAGGTGGCTGCACCAGGTTCCCAGCTTCAGGAAGCACTGCCCATCAGCACTGCTGAGTTCGGAGGCAAAGAACAGGGTCATTGCGGGACAGCCGGGTGTCCTCACACAGAGTGGGGAAATGCTGCTGCTGGGGTAATCTCAACGGGCTTGCTCTTGCCTCAGTCAGGGCCAGGCTGGGGTGAAGACAGCCCGAATGGAGAAGCAGGCCCAGACAGCAGTTTTCTGCCCAGAGAGAGCACTCAAAGCCTCTCAGAGTACCAGAGCTGGGTAGCAGGGAGGGATGTACTTCCAGCCACTTCAAGGTCACGTGAATCCCCCAGGACATGAAACCCACAACAGGAGGTGGCAGGACCCCAGAGCTTGCTCATTCTGGTCCCCCAGCCCCACCCCGGAGAAACCCAGTTCAAAAACCACCTATCTGTGAACTTCTCCTTTAGAGATGGGGAAACTGAGGCCCTGGGATGGGAAGGGTCTTTCTGACAAGGGCACAGCCAGTCGGAACACAGCCAGGGTTAGATTCGTCTCCCTGTGCCCACCAGCCAGGCCTGGCCAGACCTTACGTTCCTGAGTATCCACCCCAACACTGTGGGTCAGAGTCCCGGGGACTTCTAGGCACAGCCTGCACCTCCAGACCCGGGCCTGACTCTGATGGCGTCCTCAGATGACACTCAGCACTGTTTGGATAATGCCAGTCTAGCCCGCTTGGTGAGAACTTAGAAATCTCCACCATGAGCCTCAGCAGGAAGGGCCCCTCTGACAAGGCCATCAAGTCTTATCTTTTAAAGCCTGGATGAGCTGGACCCTTGCCACGGCTGCCACAGCTCCCCCAGCATGCGGAGGGAGGGGCAGGTGACCTGGAGAAGCTGTGGGTGTTGCCACAAGGAGCCCTCTGTGCAGGCTCTGTCCCTCAGCTCCTCGGACACAGAGGCCAGTGTCCTCACTTCCCGGGTCTGGTGACGTCCACTGTCACTTGGTCAGTGATGGAACAGGAAGGGGAAAGCTACCGAGATATCAGGACTTCACCGAATCCTGAACACCACGGCCTGGTCCTCACTGATCCAATGTCAGTCCAGCCTCTGCAGTGACCATGAAAAGACTTTGGCCTAAGTGCTGTTTCACCACCGGGGTGTAAGCTCCCCCAGAAAGGAGACAACCTGACAGGATGGTCACTTTGGCCGCGACTGCACAGAGCCGGGGCCTCAAAGCTGAGCCTTCACTTGATGGACCGCACGCGTTGCTGTGAGGGAATAGCCGGCCTCAAAACCAACATCTGGAGACCTGTTCAAGTCTTCCTTTACTGTTTTTTTTTGTGTGTGTTGTGTGCACACAGAGCTCTTGGCACATGCCTTTCAAAATCTCTTGTGAAAGAGGTAGTAATCGTAATGTTACTTCCTTCAGAAAAATTAAGTTTTTTCTAAGTATTTCTTTTTTTTTTTTTTGGCCTTGCAGCATGTTTTTTCCTAAGTATTTCTTTCCTGCACTTTTTACGCATGCTTAAAACGAACAGGAATCACTGTATCTTGCACTTTTTCTTTTTGTAAATGGACACTTTGAGTTCAGTGAGTTCCTCCCTAAGGCATTACAGTGTAAACCTGGGTGTAACTTAGTTGCCAATCCAGTATCTTTTCCCCATAGAAATCAGAGTTTAACTATCTAACAAAGACCCAGGAGACCCATTGGACACCCTCTCCCTTTGGGAGCCCCCCTCCGCCAGCTGTAAATGTTATTTCATTTCTTTCCAAGTGCCTTCAAACTGACTGAGATCCCTTATCACTGTGCCTTATCTTCCCCTTTCTAGTTTCTCTCCATATTCTGGCCTGGGGCTGCCTGCCTGCCCAAGAAGTCTTCTTGGTTAATGGGAGCCCCTCACTGGACAGCATGGAACAGCTACCAATGACCAGCTTGGGCAAGTCACTCAACACACTAGCCTCACTCCCCTCATCTATAAAATGTGATATGACAGCATCTGTCTCATAGGGTTATTCTCAGAATCCATAAGATAATATTAGCAATAAAGGATGCTCTGTGTCACACCAGGGATACTTACTGACCACTCAGGATCCCTGTAATTGTCTACAGGTTTTATCTAGACCTGTAAGATGCTCAGAAGTGTAACACTATTTTGTGTCCCTCCAGCTAGATCGTCAGGAATCTAGCTAGAGAGCTCCTAGCATACAGCAGGGCTCAACAAGGTTCTGCAGGGCAAATGATCCCCTGAAGTGGTCAAGGGAAGGGGATCCAGTAGTACTTACCAAGCAATATAGGTGTGCAGACCTACTGTGTGCCAGGCAGGGGAGAGGGCACCAAGAGTAAGCCAGATCCCTGCCTGGCCAAGGGGTACCCCACATAATCGGGTATCAGCCAGAAGCAAGAAGACTTGGCTGGGAAGGTTTCTGGAAACCATCCCCCACCCAGACTTCAAAATCATTTCATGAACCCATCACACGCTGTCTGGGCAGCCTCATGTCCCGCCCCAAAGGGCTGGAATCCTGAAAACCACTCAGTGTGTAGGCGCTACTACTGTTCCCATTTTACAAAGCGGGGAAACAGGCTCTGAAGCGACTCACTAGCTGACCCTCTCAACTACCCCACCTGATGCCTCCAGCTGCACAGTGGCCAGTTATCATTACTGTCCCTTGCAACTGGCCATCTTCAGAGAAGGCTCCTTGGGATGGGCAACAGCCTTTCTCCATCTTCTGAGCCATTAGGGCTGACGCAAAAGAACGCTGGGGGATGGGCCTCTGACTTGAGGAAAGTGCACCTGGAGGCTGGCCCTGTATGTTCACCCCAAGGCCCTGGGGCTTGGTTCTTGGTTCTCTTAACCTTCCAAGTCTCCCCTCTTCCACCCCATCCCCTCCTCCTGCCCCCACCCCAGAGGAGATCTTAGACCTTCCCTTCACAAGGGATGCCAGGGCTCTGCATCCACGTGGCCACCTTCCTCCTCACTCTCCACTCGTGGAGTCTCAGCACCCCTGCTCCAAAGCCAAGAGTGGCAGGAATGTGACTCTGAACAGGAATGTGAGGTGGAGAAGGGGACGGGTAGTTTGAGGTAGGGACAAGGCCGGGGCCCCCAGGCTCCTCTGCAAGATGAGGGGTTAAAACAGGCGCTCTCGAGTTGGGCAGCACGGGTTCAAATTCCAGATCTCGCCGCGGGCGACCTCGGGCAACTGACAAATTCGGAGCTTCAGTTTCCTCACATGTGGGTGGAACGTTACCAGTTACCAGGGAGGAAAGGGTCCTGGGGCCGCGCGTGCCGAGGGCACGGTACAGGGCTTGTCTCTCGGCGAGTGGGCACTAATGGTGGCCTTCCCGGCACGGCCGGCGAGGAGCCTCCGCAGTGCGTAGCCGCGCGTCCCCTGCGCCTTTGAGCAGCGGGGAATGAGGGGCCGAGCCGGCCTGAGGCCTGCTGGGAGCCGGGCCCCAGCGGGCGGAAGCCGGGCCGAGCGCGGGCGCGGCGGAAGGCTCCTCCGGCGCTGACCTGCGAGGCGCGCGCTCCGCCATGTGACCGCGCCCCCGGCCGCCTCCCTCGTGGTGGCACCGTGCAGCGCGACACGGAGCCGGCGTGCCCGCGGCCCCGGCGCCCTCGCCCTGCGCCCCCACTCACCCCGAGCCGGCCGCCGTGGTGGCCTGGATGGAACTGATGCGCAGGCGGTTGGCTGTGTCCTTCAGGGCCTGCAGCTTCTGCTGGTCTGGCTTATGGTATGCCTCCATGGCGCGGCCGGGCGAACGGGCGGGTGGGGAGGCCGAGGACGCGGAGACGCAGCGCAGCGTAGCTGCCGGCAACTTGCTAAGGCCGGACGCAGCGCGGGGTGGCGTTAAGAGTGCCGGGAGCCGCCCGCAGGGGCGGGGCGCCGGCATCACCCCAGGTTGCCCCGCCCCGCCCCGCCCCCGGACCCGCGGAGGCAGCCCCGCCCCAGCCCTCCGGCGCTGTTAGGAAACCGAGACCTTCGGGAGCCTGGGAGTCTCTGGACCCAGCCCGATGCTGTCCACCCGCCTAACCTCTCCGTCCCTCTTTCCTTCCCTGCGGGGCAGCTGCGGGCTGCCAGGCTCCTGTGAGTCAGGCTGCACTGCCATGCCGGGATTAACCACCGACACAAATAATGTGATAATAACTGCAGGTTCTAGGCCCGGCTCAGGGTTCTTCTGTTGAATCGCATCTTCACTGCAGACCGCTCTCCTTCCTCCACAAAGCCCTGGAGTGAAACTGAGAGGGGAGGCTTCATTGATTGTACCTTAGTAAAAATGAGCAAACTGAAACTGGCAAGGTCAATTAAGGTCACAGGGCTGGTGCGCGCAGGGGGCTCTGTCCTAGCAAACACGCCCTATCCTCAAGCCCCAGCCCCAGAGAGGGACCCCAGGGCTTGAGGAGCCTGTAGGAGGATGAGGATTATGAAAATGAGAATACATATTAGTAGTAATGATAATATCAGTTAATGTTAACTGAGAAATTACTAGAGGCAAACCCTTCACAAGTTATTAGGGCCTAATAACACTGCTGACTCTTAGGGAGATCACTAGATTTGGTTTCCAGGCCTGTAAGGACAGGAGAACCCACCTCTGCTCTTACCAGGTCCCCTGGCCCCCAGGGGGACGAAGGTCCCCCGAGTGGGAGTAGGGAGGGGACCGTCATCACAGATGTTGTCGGTGGAGTTCACCCACCCCACATGCCCCAGGAGGCTGATACCCTTTACCACGTCTTATACAGGAAGAAGCTCCATTTTACAGAGGACAGAGAAAGGTATCCCCTCAAATCAGTGGCTGAGGAGGGGGCTGCATCAGATCTGTCTGATGCTGAGCCCCTGAGCAAGCTGAGGGAGGCAAGTGGCCAGGCCTTCCTTGCCTGTGTCCCCTCTGTGTCTTTTGCCAACACTCAGAGCTCTGGGTCATGAGGGACAATGGACTGAATGTGACTGAGTCCCCCACCCCACTTCTGGGTGCTCCTTGGCTGTTCCTCTGCTAGCCTGGCTCCCAGATGCCCAGCCAGACCCTAAGCCAAGTGCATCTCATAGCACTTGGGTCCTGCTGGCCCAGCCCACGGAGGCCTGCCCACCCAAGGTTGGGTCCAAAGCTGGCAAGGGCTGAGGGCTGGATTGGAGTGAGACAGCCCCAGGGGTATGCCATGTCAGAGACCTGACATGTGCCTCTGCCCTCAGTCTGATAAGAAAGGACATACCTTTGAAACCCTTTGGAAGCTCTGTGCCTTCCAACTCTGGCCTTTAGAGCAGTGTTTTCCTGTTCCAAACCTCAGTTTCTCCCTCTGCCCAATGGGACTAATCCTTGCCATTCTGCACCCACCCTGGTCTCTAATGGTGACACAGTTCTCTCCATGGCTCTGGGGATCCAGCAGTGATGGAATAAAATGCCCCTCCACCTGCCCCATTGTGGGGCTCTAGGGACCCCTGGGGCAGCTTCTTGTCATCCCAGGATTCCAGGTGAATAAGACCCAGTTTGGCATCACCACAGCCTTCTCCTCCTGCCCCGCTCCCCGACTCCCCTGGCCTACAAGGTCTGGGCGCCTTAGCTAAGGCACACTGTAGAGCCAAGGTCTAGCTCCTCCTGCTGCTCAGACCTGGGCACCCAACTAGACCCTTGGACATGAAGACCTCCACAGTGCTCGTGCCCTTCCACTAGGAACTCTGTGCCTGGGAGATGATGTTGAGGGAAGTTCCATGGGCAAGCATGTCTGCAATGGCAGCAGGCACGGGCTGGTGGGGCCCTACGTGGTCATTTCACCCAATCGGTGTGAAGACCAAGCCTCCTGAGAAATGGGGATACTCTAAAGTATCCCCATTTCTGACTTGCGGACAGAAATTGGAAGGGCCCGTGGGGAACTGTAGCTCCTAAGGGTCCCAATCACCAGACATGACAGTCCCCTAGTTGGCTGAGTCATAAGAATTGCCTGAAACAGTTATTCTACACACGAATCCCTGGTCACCACATCTAACCTTCTGAATCAGAATCCCTAGGGTGGGGCCTGGGACTCTGCATTTCCAAGAAGACACTCAGGCAATTCTGTTTTGGGGCTCTGAGAACTCTCCAGAGAAAAACATCAGGGAGACCTGGACAGACCTGAGTTCAACGCCTCGCTGGTTACGCCATGGGGCTAAGAGAAGCACTGAAAGTCCAGCTGTGGTGGGGAGATGTCTGTGACGTGTAAACAGAGTAAAGCAAGGTATAGAATAGCAGGTAGAGTGTGATCCTATTTCTGTCAAAAATAAATTAAAGTGTGCACACGCATGTGTGTGTGTGTGCATGCGTGTGTACCCATGCATGTGTGTGTTCGTAAGTGTGTCTGGGCAGAACAGAGGCTGCAAGGACAGACTTCAAGCCATGGAGGGTTGGACTGAGGGAGACTTTGGGTTTCTACTTTACGAATTTCTCTTTGGCTGGAATTTAGTGCTAGTGAACACTGTTGACTTTTATAATCCAAAAAAAAAAGCAAAACAAAATTCCGTCTTGAAAAAAGCACTGTTGAGATTGGGAGATGCATTTTTTTAATTTTAATTTTTTAAATTAATTAATTAATGGCCGCTTTGGGTCTTCATTGCTGCGCGCGGGCTTTCTCTAGTTGTGGCGAGCATGGGGTACTCTTCGTTGCGGTGCGCGGGCTTCTCATTGCGGTGGCTTCTCTTCACGTGGAGCATGGGCTCTAGGTGCACCTGCTTCAGTAGTTGTGGCTCGCGAGCTCTAGAGCACAGGTTCAATAGTTGTGGTGCTCGGGCTTAGTTGCTCCGTGGCATGTGGGATCTTCCTGGACCAGGGCTCAAACCCATGTCCCGTGCATTGGCAGGTGGATTCTTAACCACTGTGCCACCAGGGAAGCCCTGGAGACGCATTTTTATGAATGCGCTTTTTCTTGTAATTTTTCATGATTATGTAAAGCTGCCTCTGTGTTTCATAAGCCAGGCTGTTTCCTTGGATGTTTTTGAGTTGGGAGCAAACCTCCAGGAGGTGGGTGCTCACCAGTGGGAGGTCCCTCCTGCCCTTGCTCTGCTATCTACATGAAATTCAGGGCAGAGCTATCCTGATGTGCTTCTGCACATCCCCTGAGTGGACACCAATGAGGTGTGAACAGGTCCCGAGCAGCTGTGTTCCTGAATGACAGCACTGGGCATCACTTTGGCAGGTCTGGCCCACGTGCGGCTCCTGGGTCAGGCCTGGGCTAGTGCTGGGGGCCCTAAGTCAGCACTGGGCTTGCAGTGGAGGCAACATCCCAGTCTGGGTCTTCAGAACACTGTCTTTGACTCATATCCGGGGCTCAAAGCCTGTGGGGGCCTGGGATGGGTCCTTGTGTGAGGATGTGTCCAGCCTCGTGTCCACCAATGCGTAGCAGAGGGCCGACTCTTGGACACTCTCTAACGGGCTTGTAGGTTGATGAAGAATTCAGTTTTAATAAATCCATCTCTCCTCTCAATGCCGGAAATTTCCTTCCAGAGGCATTTTTGGGGTAAAGTTTCTTTTGATAATGTTGCCCCCAGGGACGTGAGATGACACACAGTTCAACTCACAGAACCTCTGATTTTTCTGATTTAACTTTTGTTTTTGTTCTTGTTTTTTAAAAACACTGCCCCCCCTCCAAAGGTAAAAGTAAAGTACACTCATTGTAAAAACCTGGAAGGTATAGAAAATTTAGAAGTAAACTAAAATTGTATGTAATGCCACCCAAAGAGGACCACTGTTAAAGTCATTTGTTCGTTTGACAAATTTTTTTTTTTTTTTGGCTGCACCACGCTGCATGCAGGATCTTAGCTCCCCGCCAGAGACTGAACCTGTGACCCTTCCAGAGGAAGCTCGGAGTCCTAACCACTGGACCACCAGGGAATTCCCTCATTTGACAAATACTGATTTATTACAATTGTTTGAAGAAAATAAAACAGGGTCAAGGGTCAGGGAGAGGGGCTGGAGAGTAGAAGTGGGGGTCCCTTCAATAGGTGTTTGCTACTATAGTTTCTTTTGTTTTCTTATTGTCAGGATCACATAAAATTCTCCATTTTTCATTTACATTTTCCCATTAGCATTCCCAAATTCTTCAAAGACATCGTTTTTACTAGCTGTGTATTGTCCCATCATGGAGCTATGTCCTCATTATTAACCATCCCTCAGTGATGAGTATTTGGAGTGCTTCCAGGTTTTCACCAAGATGTATTACCCTGCAGTTAACATGTGGTACCTAAATCCTTGTCCTCCTGGCAGCTTAGCTGGGAGTTTTCAATGGGAAACTGCTAGGTCAGAGGGTGGCAACCCTTCTAAAGCCCTTGATACATATTTGGCAATGAGCTCTCCAGGAAGTCTGGTTGTGACTCAGTCACCTCTGCTTCTCAGGCATCTGCTTGGGGGAGAGGGCAGAGGGAGGGAATCCAAGACCTGCATGGCCTTGAGTGGATCCCTGCATGTTTCTGGGCCTCTGTTTCCTCACATTTGTAAAATGGGCTCATTCTCACAACAAACAGAGGTTTCTTCTTGTTTTCCCTTTCTCTGCCTGGGGAAAGCAAATTCAAGGTGGGGAGGCTACCCTCATTTTCACAGCTGTAAGCTCTTCCTGGCAGTGGTATGTAGGCAGCAGGAGGTATTAGACCACCTTGGCCAGTGAGCAAAGGGAAAATCAATGAGAAGAGAGAATTCTGAGATGAGTTTTATAGATGGTTTTCTCCAGGACACCTGCAGACTCTGGGACCGTGGGCACTGGGCAAGAGCCCCATGACAGGGAGGCAGGGGTGGGGAAAGGGAACCTGGACACAGGGGATAACTCACCAGCTCCTCGACTTTGCTAGAAGGCAGCTCTAACCCAGGTGCACATGGCTCTCTCTCCTTCCTTTCTCATTTTATTGCTTTTTAAAAAAATCACAACTTGGGAATTCCCTGGTGGTCCAGTGGTTAGGACTCAGCGCTTTCACTGCCGGGGGACTGGGTTCATTCCCTGGTCGGGAAACTAAGATCCCGTAAGCCGCGTGGTACTGAAACTGTGCACCTCAGATTGGGACTTGAATCCACATGCCGGGACTCGAACCCAGCTTAAACCCAGATTGGGACTTGAACCTACGCGCTGGGACTCGAACCAGTCAGGGTTTGCTTCTTTACTCCCAAATCTTCTCTCTGGATTCACTTTTCTTCTTGCAGAAATGTATCTTTTAATAATTTTTTAAAATAAATTTATTTTTATTTTTGGCTCCGTTGGGTCTTTGTTGCTGCACGCAGGCTTTCTCGAGTTGTAGTGAGCAGGGGCTACTCTTTGTTGTGGTGCACGGGCTTCTCATAGCGGTGGCTTCTCTTGTTGCAGAGCACGGGCTTTAGGAGCACGGGCTTCGGTAGTTGTGGCACGCAGGCTCGGTAGTTGTGGCGCACGGGCTCGGTAGTTGTGGCGCACGGGCTTAGTTGCTCCACGGCATGTGGGATCGTCCCAGACCAGGGCTTGAACCCATGTCTCCTGCATTGGCAGGCAGATTCTTAACCACTGCGCCACCAGGGAAGCCCATCCTCTTGTCTTTTTTATTTTAACTAGCCTTGTAGGTGCAAAGTGGTATCTCATGGTGGTTTTGTCACTTACTGCTTAAAAAAAAAAATTATACAAATAACAACACATGTTCTTTGTAGAAAATTTGAGAATATAGCAAAATACTGTGATAGTCTGTTTTATATGTCATTCTGAAACCGTGCACCCCAAATTGGGACTTGAACTCATGTGCCGGGACTCAAACCCAGCCAAAACCGAGACTGGGACTTGAACCCACATGGCCGGGACTAGAACCCGGACCAAACTCCCAGTCTTCCAACTGAGATGGCACACCTGGTTTCAGGACTTAATGAAGCTCAGGTTTTTGATGTCTCATTGCAGAAAGGATTCAGTGAGACAAAGTAATAGGTAAGAAGTGAGAAACACTCCACAGACAGAGTGTGGGCCATCTCAGAAGGTGAGAAAGGCACCAAGGTATGGGATTGTCAGTTTTTATAAGGGTGGGTAATTTCATAGGCTAATGAGTGGGAGGAGTATTCCAGCTATTCCGGGAAGGGGCGGGGATTTCCATGAACTGGGCCACTGCCCACTTTTTCATCCTTATGGTTGGCCTTGGAACTGTCATGGCACCTGTGGGTTTGTCATTTAGCTTACTGATGTGTTACAATGAGCGTATACTGAGGCTCAAGGTCTAGTGGAAGTCCACTTGTCCACCATCTTGGACCCATTTGGTTCTAATCCGTTTATGTCATGTCCTCGGGCTATGTCATTCTTTCAAAGGTTGTGCCCTGCCTCCCTTCCCTCCTGTTTCAATTCAGCTAGGCTGTGTCCCCAGTTATTCAGTCAAACACTAACCTAGGTGCTGCTGTGAAGGTATCTTGTAGATGTGATTAAATCCCATAATCAGTTGATTTTAAGTAAAAGAGATTATTCTAGATAACTGGGTGGATCTGATTCAGTTGGTTGAAAGGCTGAAGAAGAAAAGTGACTTCTTCTGTGGCAGCTCCAGCCTCCTCTGCAGTTTGTGACTTACCTATCAGTCCCCTCAGCCCACCACCTTGGAGCAATCCAATTCTTTGCCACAAATCTTTAATATAGACCTACAGGTTCTGCTTCTCTGCTTGTAGCCTGCCTGATACACAAAGAGGAAAACTTCATCCCCCATAATCCACCATCCAGAGGTCACTAAGGACAACATTTTGGTTATTTCCTTCCAGCCTTTTTTTTTCCTTTTTATCCATGAACATGAATATTTTAAGTAAGGTCATGATCCCTCTGGTTTATATCACTGTGCATCTTAAATGCTTTCCCGCAGAGTCCACATGCTTTTCTCCCCCAGAATTATTACTGGCGCAGAGGAAGGTCATCCACTGTCCCCCCTTGGTTGGATGTTTACGTTGCTTCTGCGTTTATACTGTATCAAACAATACTTGTGCTTTCACTATAGCTAGCACTTGCTTCTGGGAGAGAGGGCTTCTTTTCTGGTCATCGCTGTGTGTCCTTGGCCAATCCCAGGACCAGATTGGGTGGTCGACCCTCTGAGTCACCCCCAAAGGCCGGGGCTGCAGGCACCTGGCACTCCTGAAAGGTGAGCACCAGCATGGAGCCCAGCGCAGCCCTGCCAGGCCTGCTTTCCTTGCACACAAAGGAAAAGTGCCTAGTCATTGCAGCTTGCGGTTTGAGTAGCAGAGCCTGGGCACCTCCCTGGGTGGGGAGTAGGGAGCTGCCTCAACAGCCCCCATCAGTTCCTGTCTGGGTGTGCCATGCCAGGCGGGGCTTGGGCAGTGCTATTGACAGTCAGGGCACTTCTAGGGCAGCCGGGCCCGCCTGCATGGCCTGCGGCACAGAGTGGGGAGAGATTGTCACCCTGTTCCCTCTTCTGGTATCTCCTGGTTTCCCTGAGCAAGCTGGGTGGTAGAGGTGGCTTTTGTTCCTGTGGATATTAAAGATGAACATTTTTGTTTTGTTGTGGGGAGATTAAGTGGATTTTCTCCTGGGCAGTTGTTGAATAGCTGAAGTGGTGGTTATTTAGGGTAGGGCTGCAGCAGTCTGGAGAAAGGCATGGAGAGGGATTCTTTCCCTGTTTAGAGCCACACGGCTCCTCCTGGGAAACACGAAGCCGTAACAGTGTTTGGCTGGGAGGAACAGTCAGCAGCCACAGGAAGTCCCAAACCCAGGTTGGTTGCCCTCCAAACACAATGGCTTTTTCTCCCCACCCCACCCCTAGAATTAGCAATGACATCTAGTCAGCCTTCCTTCTGGTGACTTTGATGAGGCCTCAATTGACCCTTTGATTCTCTCATGAATTCACTCCTTTGTTGCATTTACCAAGGCCTGTGTGCCAGCACTGTGCTAGATGTTTGGGGAAGAAGATGATCCTGTCTTGGTTCTCAGATCACAGGTCACAGGTCGGCAGGGGCCACACGGCCCTGTCCTGTGATCTGTATAAAGAATTGCCTGCTGAGACTGCAGATCAGGGAAGGCTCCAAGGAGGAAGAGACAACCGACAGCAAATTTTGAAATAACAGTATTCCCTGCCACCAAACTGTACCTGTGTCATGCTGGCATGGGTGATGGGAATTGAGACTATAAACGCATTTCAGATCTGGACCTCGGCTTCCCAGCTCGGCCAGTATCCTGGCAGGATGCCTCTGAGCCACTCCCACGCACCCCCCACCCCCCCACCCCCGGCCTAGGGCTGAGAAAGCCCTCTGAAGAGCCATACCTGGGAGGAAGGGATAACAACAGGTGACTGGCAGCAACGCCACTGTCATTTCCAAACGTGCTTCAAAATTCTCCAGGGACCCGAAAGCTTTTTCCACGTTCCACAAACCCAGAGGGAGGTTTGAACTGAACACGTCCAGGTCAACTATTGCCACTGCTGCCCCCTAGCTGGGTGAACTTGGATGGATGGCCTTCGGCAAATCACTCAGTGGTCAGTTCCTTCACCTGGAAAACGAGGCAATGACATGTGTCCCCCAGGTGGTCAGGATGGTCAAAGTCACTCTATTCCACAGAGTGACGTGCATCCCTGCTCCCGAAATCGCAGTTTACCACGGAGCCCAGGCTAAGGGGACAGGGCAGGCGTGTGTGGGGCTGTGCCCATAGTGTCCAGCACTGAGTCTGGGACAGAATAGCTGCTACCCCCAGCCCCAAGGGTCAGATGGGGACCAACAAATAGGGTGTGTGTGTGTGTGTGTGTCTCTCTCTCTCCCACCTTCCCTCCTACCTTTCTCTGAGGTTGATGCACCGGCCCATCATTTAAGGGCTCCAAAGTCCTCGGGAAATGTTAATTAATAACCTTGCCATCTTGGGCTGGAGCGCAAACAGCTCCTCGGTCTCCTTTTGGGCAGGAGCCCAGTGAGTCAGGGCAGGCGATGGAGCGGGGCGGGAGCTGGCTCCCAGGTGTGTCAGCCCTGGATGGGCCCTTTGTGGGAGAGCGGCCGTCTTCTGGGTGAAGGGGAGCTGTGTCAGAGTGAAGACCAGGGCTCCTATTCACGGGGGCATTCTGAGAATTTGTGTAGTCATGCCCAAGCATTTCCATATTTAATATGGAACATCTGATTATAAATTACTTTAAAACTTCTCCTTTAGATCACAATTAAGGTCTTATTTAAAAATTATGTAGGCATAGGTTACATTCTCTATGAATTCTAGGTCAAAATGGTAAAGGTGAAATGACAAAATATTTGTTTAAAAGGGGGTGAGGTGCCTGCTAGGGTGGAGACCACACAGTAAATGGGGGTGTTGGCCGGCAACATTGCTAGCGTCCCCTTTCCCATCAGGGGGCCTGTCGGGGTAAGGGTCAAACAGAAATCAGGGAAGCTTCTCGGTGCCAGCAGGACGGGAGAGGATGTCAGCCCTTCTGTCCAGGGGAAAGACCCCTGCCTGGGAGGGGCAGTCTGTGGGGGCAGGAACGTGTCAGATATAGAAACAACAAAACGGGGCTTCGTTAGCAAAACGTGTAGGGGTCCAGATTTTTGTACATGCTTCAGAAGCCAGGGCACTATTGCCAACACTAAGAAATTCCACAGAACATGGCGGGCGGTTTGCTGGGGGTGCCTCTAGAGCTTTGCCAGGGCTCAGGCAGTACCAGACCCATCTTTCTGGAGGGGCAGGGACAGAGTAAGCAAGCAGCAGTTCCTGTGGACTGTGGCCGCCTTCTCAGCTCCAAATTCTGGGGCCCTTTTTAGACTGATGGGCTGACGTCAGTCTAACCACAGCCAGGGCCTCTGCCCCTTCCCAGGATGACAGGAAGCTGGTGTCGTGAGTGGCCCTTTCCCAAGGCTGCACTTTGAATGGCCTCCACCTCCGAGGGATGTGGGGAGGGTTAAAGAATACACATAGAGCACACAGCACACAACAAATGTCGGTTATGATTACTTGTGGGACTGTACTTCAAATATATTCAAACTTACGTGAAAGAAGTGCCTGTGAAACATGATGTGACTGTCATGCGGCCTTTGTATCACCTACTTCCGAGCCATTCTACCACCGGGCATAAGAGATCTCTTAGTAGTCAGCTTTACTTTTAGCTAATTTGCCTGGTGAACCTGAAGAGATATATGTAAGCCCCATCTGCCCGCCCGCCCTGCCATGGGTTCCGTCTGCATGAGCGTGGCAGCAAACTTAAGACAGGTGGAGAATCTTGAATTGATCTAAGCCCTTTAGAAACCTGTTGGTGTCTTCCCATTACATTTGGGGGTAACAGAGACCCCAAAAGACACGGCCTGAAGGAGAGAATGCAGGCTGGGCTCCAGGGTTTGCTTGGTTTAGTGACTGTTTCGCTGCTCTTCCCTTCAGCTTTCCAAGAACCTGGCTTCATCTTTAGAGGAAGCCCCATGGCCGGATTTCTAGCTGCTCATCCAGGAGAGACAAGCTGGTTCTTGTAGCTCTGACAAACACAGAAGCCTCAGCAATTTCTAACTCACACACTTACTCAAAGACCAGGTATTTTTTAAAATTAATCACTTAATTAATTCATATTTATTTATTTTATTTTTGGCTGCGTTGGGTCTTTGTTGCTGCATGCGGGCTTTCTTCAGTTGCGGAGATGGGGGGCTACTCTTTGTTGCGGTACGTGGGCTTCTCATTGTGGTGGCTTCTCTTGTTGCGGAGCATGGGCTCTAGGCACGCGGGGATCAGTAGTTGTGGCTCACGGGCTCTAGAGCGCAGGCTCAGGAGCCGTGGCGCACGGGCTTTGTTGCTCCGCGGCATGTGGGATCTTCCCGGACCAGGGCTCGAACCCGTGTCCCCTGCACTGGCAGGCGGATTCTTAACCACTGCGCCACCAGGGGAGCCTAAGACGAGGTATCTTTTAGCAACAGCATGAACCAGGATCCATAAACGGTGAGTGAAAACATCATTATAAACAACCAGGAAGCCTAAAATCCCAAACCCTATGGCTCTTGTTCACGATCCAGTGGCCTTAGTTTTTCACGAAATTCCAATGAACCTGGTTACCTGGTTTCCTAGGTCATGACAGCTGAAAAGCAGCACGTGAGTAGGTCAAACTAGCTTTTACTAAACAGTGGTAATGTGTGACCTAAGGAATTATAGAAAGCAATCTAGAATAATTTATCGTGGAGGCAATGGAGTCAAGAAAGAAGTTCTAGACCAGCCCTCTGGTCTGCTTGGCTTCAGGTCCCTAACTCAGTACTGGCTTAATAAGCAGCAGGCCCTGTCACTCTCGGCTTCAACTCCCTTCTCCCTAAAATGGGTTATTGCGAAGATCAGGAAAATAATGGACAGCAATGCTTAAGTGCTGGATGAGCATGCATTAATGATGACTGGGGTGTGTGTACAAAAGTCATAAAGCAAGGGTTAAGCATATGCTCTGCTCTAAAAAAGCAGGCAGGTATAACAAACATTTTAGAGAGAATTTCATTTGGAAACACACTTAATGTGAACAATTACTAGGGAGATATATGATTAACACTTTTTTCCTTTTCCCTATGTCCCATAATGATGACATTTTACTTTCTTCCCTCCCTCTTTCCTTCCTTATCATCCTAGATGCATGGCACATATGACAACTCAACACACATAAACTGAGTGAATTTGGGAAGTGACCTGGAAGGTTAAGTCCCCTGTAAAACAGTGTTTTTGGTCATGATTAAACCTGCACCCTCCATCTGGGGAAAACTCAGAGGAATAAATGGAGTTGTTTTGTTCTCTCACCTCACTCCCTCTCAGCAGTAGGAGACTCTGGAAAAGTGTAGCAACTCATTCAAAAGTTCCTATTTCTGTAAATTCAATAAAAACACAATTAAAATTTAGTAGGTGCTAAAACTTGGTTTTGAACTTTTATTAAAAAAATATATTTGCAAACATATAAAATTTAGGATGAAAAATGCTCATCTGAAAACAGGTAATAACTTAATATTTGCAAACATACACAGATGGTATAAAATCCATACCATTAAAAATGTTAATGATGCTGTATTGCGCTCATGGAACAAAAATCTTGCTGTAACCCCAGAGCTTCTCATGCTCACATTTCAGGGTGCTGAGACTCTGGTACACTGAAGGTCATGAGAGCCACATGGCCGAAGCAGGAATACAGAATAAAAAACCATTTAGATCACATACTGTTAAAAACACGTTTCTTAAGGAATCACACAGATAAAAGGGAAACACAATTTTGCATTTTCCCCATTCAAAGTGAACAATATTGCGTCATAGCATTTCAAATGAAGATGTCAAACACAAAACTGAGTGAAACATTGCACACATCTCTCCTGCTGAATTTGCTGAAAAACAGGCTCCTTGAGGCCCCGGCCCACTCAGGGAAATGTTCTCAAGCACAGCTTTAAAAAGCTCAGTGTAAGTTGCTTTACTTGTTTCAGATCTTAACGTTTTAGACACCTGAAAACACAGGGCACTATTGGTTCCAGAAGGCCCTTTGAATACAACTGAAGAAAACCAAAGACAAGTAAGAAAGAAACACGTGCTCAGCAGCAAACGCGCAGCAAGAATGCAGGACACACGTCCCTGTGATTCCTCGTCTTCACTCACGTGGACTGAGCCCACTCGTGCCTGTGCTGCCTCTCATTCCTCTGTGTTTCATTTCGCCCAGAGTTACAGTATGATGGCTAATTTTGTTTTTTAAGCAGTTAGGCACCTTCAATTTCATGTTGCATTGTTAGTAATACAATGGCAGTTATGGCCTCTACTACCAAAATGAGAAAATTTCAAACTACATTCTTTGGGGAGGAGAGTAATAAAGCTGCGTGGTTTAAAAATATTTACCTAGTAGAAGATTTGATGGGGTTTAAAATTTTTACAAGAAAACATGGGTGGAAAAAGAACAATTCTTGACATGCAAAATCGGGTCATATTCTAAACTTAGCCTGTGCATCCTCCGGCAGAGAAGGACCCAGGTCAACTTGGGCTCTTAACAAAACCCCACTCCCAAAAGCCTTCCAAAGTAAGCCATGGACACTCACATTCACATGCAGACGGCATGAATGCTTCTGAAACTGACAGTCACTTGAAAACCTAGGATTCAAAGTCACACCTTACAAACCTCGGGAGAGATGCACAATGAGGAGGAGCTTCTTCCTTAAAGGAAAGGAGCAAGGCTGTTTGGGAGGTGGGAGTCCATTCAAAGACACCACATTAACTACAACCAAAGAAGAGGAGTGCCACCCACCCAGGTGAGGGGGGGGGGCATACAGACAGTCACGGTGACCTAAATGCAGGTCACCTGAAGTTCTGCAAACCTAGCAAGAAGCATCTCTGTTTTGGTGTCCGTTTTGATTCAACTAAGGTTTAAAACTAAGATTCCAGTAAAGTCACTGCAGCAATGTAAACATGCAACCTAAACTAGCATGAGGTTCTGGACAGAAGCCTGAATGAGGAATAAGGCATCTGAACTGCGACTTTCGGGCCAGGGTCATCCAACTGCAACTGTTCAGGCTTGGCCTGACTTCTCTAGGGACTCATTCTGGCCTGAACTTCCTAGTCATCATGACGGGGGACTTCTGGCTTCTGAATTTTCAAAATGCTTTGAATACATAAATCTGGGAGTTGAAACAGGTTTACCCTTTTCAAGTCTCCATGACTTGGGCACTTAAAAATTTACTTTCACACTAAGGAAACCTTATCACAGATTCTCTTTACTGTCTGTCATATTCATTCCTTGGATTAAAGGGTGAAAATTAAGAGATTTGATTAAAGACCCTCTTCAGGATATTCTCTCAACTCTCTTGTAATATTGTCCATACTCAAATCATCATTTCAATTCAAATGTCTATCATAACAAGAATCCCTCGATTCTTCCGCTTACCAAAGCCCACTGAGACTACACCTGGGATGCGAGCAAACCTGCCAGGGCAACTGTTTTCTGAGAACAGTCATGTGGCTCCCTGGACACCATCTCCTGGTGTCAGCAACACTTCACGTCTTACTGTAACTTTCTCTTTCCCAGGTGACACGCAAGGAATTCATTTTTGGTTGCTGAATTTACACACTACCTTTGAAAACAAACTATTCCTAATGGAGTATGAGAACTTAAAAGCTTCCCTGACTTCTGCGCAATTCACAAATAACTAGGTAAATGCAATAGAAGACACTAAATTGGGAAGCAGAAAAGTTGCCCAGGAAGCATGTTTAGATTAACAAAAGCCAATCAAGGTATTCTTTATGCTAAAAAACTAAGAGCAAACTAAAACAAGTATGTAATTCACAAGTAATTTTCTAAAATCTCAGCTAGAAAAAAAAAAATCTGTGGACTTATGATTGAGTTACCATTAAAGCTTAAATGATTGTTCCCGAGGAACCATTACATCTGTCAGCATTATTCACAGCTAATCCTTATGCTAGCTGGTTGAGCCAATTGGGTTTTACCCCATCATTAAATAGTGCTCAGAAAAGTAAGCAGTGCATCTTAATTGGTTAAATACTACAAAATGACCTGTATCATAGAAACGAAGACATTTTCATTCAAAGAATATCTTAAAATTACTATTGCTGAAATAAATCAAAATCTACATTAAAATATTACTAATCACCATTACATGCCATAAAAGAATAAATATAAATCATGGCAGATCAATAGCAGCATAACAAAGCATCTTTACATATTTTCACACTTCGGGCTGCAAAAGTACTCACAGCCTAGGAATACATTGGTAAAGTTCTGAATTTCACACTTTGTTTTTAACTCCATATTCTATAATAAAGTAAGGGCAGTGTGAATAACAGCTCCCTTTTCTGCATAGCTTTAAAACTATTCTCAGTAGACTTGAGGAATGGAACCAGAATGGCTTTGTCAGATTGGTCCACTGGTCCTTTTGTCAAAGTGTTAAGGAAAACAATTAACAATGACTTCTCACTGTGTTTAGACAGAAAAGGAAAATAAGGCTATGATTCACACACACATGTAACATTTTCAAAACCACTGGAGAGTAACTTAAAGTGAAGATTTCTGATAGAATTCGGGCCTTACCAGTCCCAGCCTTTATTTCAAAGGTGTGCCACGCCTGCTCCCATACCATGACAGGGCCTGCAGGGCCCGATTCCCAGTATCCCCACACTGGGAACCTGCTACATGGCATCACTGGGGACACTTAAAAACAAAACACAATTAAGAAATTTCAGAACTTTTAAGGCCCAAGCGAGGCATTCATATAAAACATACTTCACTTGAACAAATCAGTCCTAATTTGCCAGCTTAAACTCTGACCCTTAAAACACGAAGCTACTTTGCACAGAGCTGACTTCTGCTCTGTTCTGAACTTGACTACCAGCCCAATGCTCAAGTTTTTAGGGGGGGAGTGGAGGGGAGAGGGGTGCAGACTGGGCTGAACTCTGACTGCTGCAAGGCTGGTGACCCCTTTTCCCTAAGACCTTGAACGTGAAAGTGAGTTGAAAATCAGATTCCTTATTTCACAAACTTGCTTAGATCTGATGAAAACACCCACACAACTCAACACAATGGTTTTTTTTTTTTTTTTTTTTTTTTTTTTTT